AAGGTGGTATTATGGAACCCCAATTACATTTTAGTGAATTGTAAACAAGGTATCATAACTACACTCACATTTTTTATGCAAAAAGTACTTGTAACTATTAAACTAAATGTTCCTAATTGGATTTTTCGTTAGTGTAACTATAAGTATGGTTTTTGAAGGCTTTTGTACAAAAAGTCCGAAAGTAGGCTTAGAGAAAATCGGGTGGTAATATGGAACCTTACTGTATATTTTCAAAAAATGCTTTAATGTAGCCAAAAACAAATAGGAAAGTACAAAGAATGTTAAGTAATTACAAAATCATTTATTCCAATGTATTTTAACGCAAAAATGATTTAATATTTTAAATTTAGTTTATATGTGAATGCGCCATCTTACCCCACCTATCAGGTTTATTTGTATAGACTACAAGAAGGACAAATTAAAATGGTTATCTTCAATATTGGCACAAGAACAGTGTGCCAATTTATTACAACTGCTACATTTATTGTTATTTTTCAAATAAATAAACATAAAAGTTTCAACTTACTTGTAGACTATTCACTTTACCAGACGATACTCTCACTTCGCGCATGCTCAGTTTCGCTATTTTGTGAGCAGACGATATTTTTTTTTCATGAAAAAAAAAAATGTTTATTTCGGTTGTTATCTTACATTTTATTTCTTGTTAAGATAGTATTTATATTAAAAAAACGTTTTCATAAATAAAATAAAACGTAAAAACATTATTTTATGGTTTGAATTTGTTGGTAATACCGAACACCGGGGGAGTTGGGTTTCATATTAAAAGCGCCAATGGGGTCCATATTTCACGCATCTCCATCTTGGATTAACTTAATTCCTGTCGGCACCAAACTTTAAAAACGTGAAGATCACTCAGATTAATATGTACCCCTAAGTCTCTGGAACGGAATATGTGCACCGGTGAACCTACAACTACACGATTTATATTTTAAAAATAATTAAATTCACTTAGCATTCAAAACTTGCGAATTTTGAAAAAAAAAACAAATTTGCTGATTAAATGCGGACAACTGTTTAACTGAAGTAAAACGGGTTTTCCCCTTGCTATGGATGTCTGTCTATATTCCGCTACAGTTCGTTTTTTATTATCAGTTCGAAATGGGGTGGTTCCATAATACCACCTTCTCCTCTAATGTTTTGTTTTATTCCTATTCCCATTTTTCGTAGGCCTATCTCTCCCATACAGCATGATCCAAGTAATCCATACTCCCATAGTGATATGGGATAGATGGACCATTTGTAAATTGTTTTGTTAATTAATAACAAATTTGTTTATGTGTTTTTCATATTTACACTATTACTTATGTTACCATACGTCAACAGCATACGATAGTACAATTTTTTCATCAAGTATTATTATAAATAAGAAAAATATAGCAATTTTTAGAAAGGGGCCATCTCTCTTAAATATACTATATAATTATACGTTTCCATGTCTTCTTAACGATATAAACTATTAGAGAAATATATATATATACACATTATACTTGTTATTACGTAACATGACCTGAAAACAGATTTGTAAGCTTATCATCTAGGTATGAATAATTTCGGGTTTTCGAGATTGATGTCTAATTTGGCAGTAATTTGATGATAAGATATTAAATTTTNATACTTGTTATTACGTAACATGACCTGAAAACAGATTTGTAAGCTTATCATCTAGGTATGAATAATTTCGGGTTTTCGAGATTGATGTCTAATTTGGCAGTAATTTGATGATAAGATATTAAATTTTAAAGTCATTGTTGTAAACCTTAATTATTTTTGAAAATTAATGTTAGAGTCAATAGGTAAACAAACCACGAAATAATTTAAGAATAAAAAATGAGCCAAATTGGACTGTAATTTGAAAAATTTGTAGACTTATAAATAAATCCCCATTGTCGTCTGTCCTCCGTCAATATCGAAAACTGTTAAGTTGATAACGGTAATTTTAAAGCTAATTTGTTTTTAATATGACCAGAAGAGTACAATGTACTTACAACGTGTTAACTATAGTAGTAAGGTATAGATAGAAACTTTACATAAATGCCTCATCAAATTAAAATTATGCGTTTAGGAAAGCAGTTTCATTAAAGGATAAAGAACTTCAAGCGCCCGTGAGTTACACACAAGAATATTCCATTATGAAAAATAATCGCCACTCATTTCTAAAATAACCTAAAATTTTTGTTTTGTATTGTACTGCATTCTTTTATAATGTTATTGTAAGTTACAGCGTGTATGTACTCTAGATCTCTAAGCAATAATAGAAACTGAATTTTACGTAAGAAACAAGTAAAACGGCAAAACAGTATTTGGGCCAAGACTATGTCTCCGAGACTCACTACTAAGCGAAATCCCTTTGACGCTGAAGGCGGGTCTCGTTCTCATTCTACAATCTTCTTTGGTATCGCTGCTTTTGGGCGCGATCGTTCAAAATTCGCCGGCCACGATGCATTTTCGATGAAATTAACCTATTCAATTTCGAAATTTCTCTCCGTTGCGTGTCGATCCGGGTTGAATTTTTGTCGATGCGTAAAAAAAATTTCCCGTTTTTTTAAAAAATAATCGTATTGTATCGTCCGAAATTATTTTTTTTTATTTTGCACAAACAATATACAGTTTAACCCTATTATAACGACGTCGGATGTAACGATAATCCTAATATAACTTCAAATTATTATTGGTTCCACGATTTTACTTATACTAGATAATGTTAAAAAAAAACCTACTTGTAACGACACCCTGTTTTAATGTGATATTTGAAGCACTCCCAAATTTACAAAATTAGATTACAAATTTTATTTAACATAGAAAAAACTACGTGTTCGGTCCTAAGGTCAGAGTTCACTTCTTAGAATGACTGCGGGTGGTACTCTCCTCCACCTGACTTCAGTGGGATGTGTGCCTGTTTTGTCTGTTTATAGAAGAGGGTCGCCATTTTGTATTTTATTTTGACTCGGTTCTCGGTCCCCTGACTACCTACGAATCTTGATTTTTTATGAGCAAATGATTTGGCACCTTATAGTGTGTGCCAAATATCAACTCTCGACAGTACTCCTTAATACCTCTAAGCTGGTA